TTGGATATGACTGAGTGATGAACACGTCACTTCAATTTTTTTTTATGTCACTTCAATTTTAAATGTAGTGTTTAACTTTCACTTTCATGCACACACACGCACACACGCACGCACATTCAATCCATCTGTTTCTGGAACAGAGCTCCTAAAACCCTTGAAATTTCCTAAGTGATAAGAGAGATGAAGGTGAAATAGGTATCTTTTGTTATTCACATAATAAGTCTCTTTCAGTCACACCTGACTTTATATTAATGCAGTGACTCTTAGAAAGCCCCTAGGTAATTTAAGGCTGGGAAGTGGTTGCCAGGACAATCAATCTGATTAATTAGAAACTTGGAGATTTTAGTTCCCCTTACCTCCCGGGAGGGGAAAGGGGTTGTTGGTTGAGTTGATCACCAATGGTCAATGATTTAATCAACCATGCCTATGCAATGAAGGCTCCAAAAAACTCCCAGGAGAGGTTCGGAGAGCTTCCGAGTTGGTGCACCTGGAGGTAATCTAGTAAGTAAGCTGTTTTCCTGTGTACTGAAAGCAATTTAGCAAATTAATTGAACCCAAAGGAGTGGTGGAAAAACAATTTATAGCCTCTGGTCAGAAGCCCAGGTAAAAGCCCTGGATTTGCAATTGGCAGCTGAAGGGTGAGAGTGCAGGTATATAGAACTAAACCCTTAACCTGTGGGAGCTCCAAGAAGACAGTGTCAACACTGAGTTAACCTGTAGGACATCCAGCTCGTGTCTCAGACTTGGCTGGTGTGGGAAAAACTAGCACCCATGTGGGAACCAGAATACACAGGTGTCAGTATCACATGCAGTGACTGTAAAGGAAAACAAGGGAGTTTTGATTCGATTTTGATTTTGCAGAGCATTTGAAAGTTAGGCATTGTCTTCCTTTAAAAGTTAAGGTAACTAACCACACAGTCTCATTCTCTGTCACACCATATATCAGCATTTCAAAATGGTAAGAATGCTTCTAAAATCTACATGACCATGAATTTTTTTTATTAAAAATCACACAGATTCAGAAAACAAATATAACAAAAGGCAATGACAGTTTCTCCAACAGCCTCTTAGGATCTCAGCCAAGTTTCCAATCTGCTTTTCACTATGATTCCTGCAGAGAATTCCACCAATACATTTAGAACTTTTGCAAATTAAGTTAGAAGTACTTGTTCACCTCGATTCATCTCTGTGAATGACGGTGGAACTCTAAATTTAAATACAACTGCATTACTGTTCTCTGATTAGCGTAGAATAATTCTTGGATTCATGGCAAGGCCAGGCTAAATGACACTGCAAAGAAACCCTTTGTTTTCAAACAAATCAGTGGTTGGCTTTAGATAATGCTATAAAGAATCTTATTCATGCAGTGTACCCTAGTCAAAATTGTAAAAGTTGAGAACAAAAATAACAACTTCCACCTCTATTAAAAGAAGAATCTATAGTTACACAAGCTTTTTTTCTACATGAATAGAACTGCAAAATTTTAGAGGTAGATGGAACTGAGTAATTTAAAGTCAGGGAAAATAAAGTCATTCGCCAAGGATCATTTAATAAATTACTGGCAGATCAAACACTATAACCTAGGCACTGCAAATTCCCTACTGTAGGCTATTAAATACTATAGAATGTTATGGACAAGTTAATATCAGCCAACATTTATCAAGTGCCTACTTTGTGCCCTTAACTATGGCAAGCATTTTCATATCCATTATCTATTCCCTAAGTCAGCTAAAAAGATTTTAATAAAAGAATCACATCTACTCGTTTGGACATTCAGTGTTGCCAAAACAGAGCATTCTACAGGAACTAAATGGAAAGAGGTAATTCAATTACTGTAATAACTACACTATAGGCAAGGCTGTGTTCCAACAATACACTTTACTCTCAGCAATTTCCGTCCCAGAGCCATATAGAGATTTAGAAAGCCTAGGAGTGCATTTCTGGGTACTGGCCTCTCTGCCAAGGATGGATAAAGACCTCAGTACTACTTCCCCCTCTTCCTTCTTCTACTTTTATATGTTTTCCACTATCACATTCTTTTTGATTCTTCTGTAGTTGTTGTCTGTTCTTTGATCTATGCTTTCTCCTGAACTGCTGTTCCCCACCAACCCAGAAGGAAGAAAGTAATAATGACTAGAGCAGAAATCAATGAAATACAGAATAGAAAAACAACAGAGAAAATCAATGGAACGAAAAGTTAGTTCTTCAAAATAATTTTAACAAAATTGGAAAAACTTTACCTAGACTGATCAAGAATAAAAGAAAGAAGACTACTCCAATATTTTGGCCACCAGATATGAAGAATTAACTCATTTGAAAAGACCCTGATGCTGGGAAAGATTGAAGGCAGGAGGAGAAGGGGATGACAGAGGATGAGATGGCTGGATGGCATCACTGACTCAACGGACATGAGTTTGAGTAAACTCCAGGAGTTGGTGATGGACAGTGAGGCCTGGTGTGCTGCAATTCATGGGGTTGCAAAGAATCGGACATGACTGAGCACCTGAACTGAACTAAGGAATGAAATATGGAACATCACTAACAACTTCACAGAAATAAGAATTTTAAAAGAATATTATTAACAACTGTATACAACGAATTATCTGGTAGATAATCAGATGAACATATTCATTGGAAGAAAAAAGCTATGAAGCTAAGTCAAGAAGAAATAGTACTTATCTGAATATATACATAACAAATAAAGAAACTGAACTAGTAATTAAAAAAAAAAGAAAAAGTGCCACAAAGAAAAGCCCAAGTCCAGATGGCTTCACTGGTGACTTCTACCAAATATCTGAAGAATTAATACCAATCCTTCACAAAATCTCCCACCACCCATAGAAAAGAAAAGAAGGGAACTCATCAACAAGGCCAGTATTATCTTGATACCAAACCCAAATGAAGATATCACACACAAAAAAGGAAGTTATAGATCAATACAGGTGCAAAAATCCTCAACAAAATACCAGCAAACCAAATCCAGGAACATATGAAAAGGATTATATAGCATGACCAAATATGATTTATCCCAAGAATTCAAAGTTGGTTTATCATCTGAAAACCAATCAATGTAATATACTATATTAACAGAATAAAGGACAAAAACCACACAATCATCTCAATGGATGCAGAAAAGGCATTTTACAAAATTTAACACCCTTTAATTATAAAAACATAATAAACTTCAAATAGAATAGAATTTCCTCAAGCTAATAAGAGGCGTCTACAAATAACCACAGCTAACATTACATGTAACGGTGAAAGACTGAATGCTCTTCCCCTGAGACTAGGAATGAGACAAGGCTTCTCCTTAGCACTGAAGGTTCTAGCCAGAGCAACCAAGCAAGGAAAAAAAATTATAAAATTTTGATTAAAAGATTGATAAGGAAGAAGAAAAACTATCTCTATGAACAGATGTTAAGATCTTATATAAGATCTTAACTAAGTTGTCTCTTAGTACCCACAGGGGATTGGTTCTAGGAGGCCCTGCAGATACCACATTGGACCCAGAAGCCCTTGTATAAAACAGTACATGAATACAGTCCACCCTCTGTATCTGGGGATGCAAAACTCCCAGATATTGAGGACTGACTGTATAAAAAATCCTAATCAGTTCTCCAAAAAAAAGTATTCAAACTAATAAGTAAGTTCAGCAAGTGTGAATACTAGTATGTGTAAAATAGATAGCTAGTGGGAAGCTGCTACATATCACAAGGAGCTTCGCTCAGTGCTCTGTGATGACCTAGAGAGGTGAGATGGAAGAGTGAGAGGGAGCTCAGGATGGAGGGGATACATGTATACATACGGCTGATTCACACTGTTTTACAGCAGAAATTAACACAACCCAGTGTGAAGCAATTATCCTCCAATTAAGAGTTTTTAAAGATAAAAATTGTTTTAAAAGAATGAAGAATACAAGTTCAAGATTCAAAAATCATTGTACTAATACATTGTACCAATACTTGATTTTTTGAGTATAATTTATATACTTTGATTTTTATTTTCTTAATTCATTTAATGTTTACATGAGTAAACATTAAATGAATTAAGAAAATAATTAAGAAATTGAATTAAGAAAATAATTCCATTAACAACAGCATCAAAAAGAATAAAATACTTAGGAATAAATTTTAATGAAGTCCAAGATTTGTACACTGAAAACTACAGAAAATGGTTAAAAGAAATTATAGGACTTCCCTGGTGAATAAGAGTCCAACTGCCAATGCAGGGGACACAGGTCCCACCCCTGGTCCAGGAAGATTCCACATGCCATGGAGCAACTAAGTTAATGCGCCACAATTACTGAGCCTGTGCTCTGGAGCCCACGAGCCGCACCCACGGAGCCTGTGTGCTGCAGTTACTAAAGCCCGGGCACCCTAGGGCCTGTGCTCCACGACAAGAGAAGCCACGATGAGAAGCCCACACACTGCAACAATGAGCAGCCCCCATTCACCAACTAGAGAAAGCCCAAGCCGAGCAAAGAAGACCCAGCGCAGCCGAAAATAAAAATAAATTTTAAAAAAAATTACAGGAGACTTTAAGATATGGAAAAACAACGCAGGCTCATCGATCTGAAGACTAAATACTGTTAAGATAGCAATACTCTCCAAATTGATCTACAGAGTGAATCCAATCCCTATCAAAACTCCTTGCCATTTTTTTCATAAACTGGCAGGCTGATCCTAAAATGCATATAGAAATGCAACTGACCCAAAATAAGACAGTGATCTTGAGAAGGAAGAACAAAGTTGGAGGTCTCATACTTCCCGTCTGTAAAACTTACTACAAAGCCACACTAGGCTAGTTAACGCAGGGCGGCACTGGCATTAAGACAGAAAGAGCTTGCCACTTATATGTGGCAGCTAAAAAGTGAAACTCACTGCTACCTGGGAGAGGGGAAGGAGTGTACACAGAGGTCCTGTGCCAGCACCCTGGACCGGAGATCTACACAACCTAAACATTAAACACAACAGCTGCCTCAAATCCTTGGGAATTTCAGGATGACTGAGACTTCTGAAGCTGTTCCAAATTTTGAAGAGATGTTTGCCAGCAGATTCACAGAAGATGACAAAGAATACCAAGAACCCCTGAAACACCCTCTGGAGTCTCCTCTGATTGTTGAGGAATGGAATAGCAGAGCTGGTGGCAATCTGACAAACAGACGCAATTGGTTGTAAGATAATAGACAGTTTAGAGGTAGGGATAGCAGACGGGGGTGGCCAAGAGACAACTGATCCAATCAATGGCATGGACGATCCTGGGGTAACAACCGCCCACAGCACAGACAAGAACCTTACTACCCCCATCAATATGGACACTATGGTTACAACCAAAGGCCTCCCTGTGGCTACTACTGAGAGGAGTGTCAGTAACTTTTAGTAAAATTAGTTACTCTGCCAACATGACAAAAGTTTATGTTGTATTTTCTGTTGGTCATAGTTTTACATCTGATTGTAGAAAATGAATTATTAATTTTTTGGAACTTGGGACTTTTGAAAAATTAGATCTTACTGGAGAGACATGATGGTTGCTGGAAATAATCACTCCCCTAAAAAGGTTGTGGGTTATGTTGCTTGACTTCTACCTCAGATTCGTCTTTGTTTCACGACTTAATAGTGCTGTGAACGTTGTATATTTTTTTCCTTGTTAGACCTTCAGGAGTTGTCTTTGTTTTACACAGAAACAAAAACTTTACGTAGAAGATGCTTGCTTTTAATTTGTAAAGTAAGGAAGTATCCCTACACGTGGATGCGCTCATTCCTAAAATTTTACACAGGGAGTACAATCAGCTCCTAAATGCACCACTATGCCTACTTATGATGTACTATACACAGTAGTAATTGAAAGGTAAAACAATCGTAGTATACTTCGTTTGGATTTTGTTGTTATGTGAATGTGGTACTTTGTAATTATAGGTATGAGTCATCTTCACAATCATATTGGTGTCTTCTTAGAGGGATATCAAGAATAAAGCTGTAAAATCAGGAAGGAATCAGTCTCAGCTTCAGTGTCTTAACCTAGTGGTGGGTGAGATTAAGGCACACAGTCATTTTACACAAACTCGAAGGCTTTTGCTAACATAAACATTACACGTTATGCAAAAGTTTAACTCCGTAATGTTCCCTTCCTTCTCAGTCACATGTAAATAATGGTGTATTTTGACTCTATTTACTTTTATGGTATTTAATGTGAGTTGAGTTTACAATGTTATTTCACCTCCAGATGTACACCTTTGCTGCCTCCTCTTCCATAAATACAGTGATGCTGTAACCTCCTTTCAGAATAAGCACCATATTTCCCATCATTTTAATGGCCATTATAATGGTTTTATTCAAATAAAATACTTGTAAGTATTCTCCCTTAAAAAAAAATAAAATAAAAAGTAAAACTAACGGGTACAATTAAAAAAGAAACAGTCTCATAGACACAGAGAACAGATGACCAGTTACCAGTGAGAGAACAGTGGAAGAAGAGGAAAGATAGGGTAAAGGAATTAAGAGGTACAAACTACTAGGTATAAAATAAATAAGATACAGGATGTCATGTACAGCCCAGGTAACATAACTAATATTTTATAATAACTTTAAATGGAGTATAATCTATAAAAGTATTGAATTACTATGTTGTACACCTAAAACTAATATAACATTGTAAATCAACTCTACCTCAAAAAATAAAAATTTAAGATAGAATAAAATTGAAAGTACAGAAATAAATCTTTATAATTATGGTCATTTGATTTTCAACATGAATGCCAACATAGGACAACTGAATATCCACATGCAAATAAATAAAGTTGAACCCCTACCTCACACCATAACCAAAAGGTAACTCGAAACAGACCAAAACCTAAAAGTAAGAACTAAAACAGTTCTTAAAAGAAAACACAGTAGTAAATCTCTGTGACCTTGGGCTAGGCAATAATTTCTTAGGTGAATAACATGACCTCAAAAGCACAAGTGACAGAAGAGAAAATTAACTGAACTTAATCAAAATAAAAAACTTCAGTGCTTCAACAGAAAATCATCAGGAAAGTAAAAGAGAAAATCTACATAATAGGAGAAATGTTTGTAAATCATATAATCTGCGCATCCAAAATATATAGAGAACTCTTATAATTCAGCAAAAAAGACAAATAACCCTATTAAAAAATGGACAAAGGAACAGAATAGACATTTCTCCGAAGAAGGTTACAAATGGTCAACAAGCACATAAATGATGCTCAATATCATTAGCCATTAAGAAAATGAAAACCAAAACCTCAGTGACATACCACTTCAAACCCACTAAAATGACGAAAGTCCAAAAAGGACAGATAATTAATGTTGGTGAGGATGTGGAGAAATTTGAACCCTCAAACCTTGCTGGTGGGACTGAGAAACAGTGCAGACACTGGAAAACAGTTTGGCAATTCCTCAAAAAGTTAAATTGAGTTACACATGACCCAGCAATTCTGCCACAAGGTATACACCCAAAAACGAAAATACATGTTCATACAAAAGCCTACACATGAATATGCACAGCAGCCTTATTAATAATCGTCAAAAAGTGGAAACAATCCAACTATCCACTAATATATAAATGAAAAAGCAAAATATGATATACTGAAAAACAGGAATATTTTTCAGCAATAAAAATAAATGAAGTACTATATGCTACAATGTGGATGGACCTCAAAAACATTATGCTAAGTAAAACAAACCAGTCACAAGAGACCACATATTGTAAGATTCCACTTTTTTTCTGGCCACTCCAAGCAGCTTTCCAAGCACTTCCTAGTTCCCTAAACCAGGGACTGAACCCTAGCCACATCAGTGAAAGCACCAAGTCTTAACCACTGGACTGCCAGCAAATTCCTGTAAGATTTCACTTTTTATGAAATATCCAGGATAGGCAAACACCTACGGAAGGGGCTTCTCTGGTGGCTCAGACGGTGAAGAATCCGCCTGCAATGCGGGAGACCTGGATTCCATCCCTGGGTCGGGAAGATCCCCTGGCGGAGGGCCAGGCAACCCACTCCAATATTCTTGCCTGGAGAATCCCCAGGGACAGAGGAGCCTGATAGGCTACAGTCCATGGGATCGCAGGGTCCTACAGGACTTAGCCACTGAACACATAGCTACGGAAAGGAAATCGATCCCTGCGAGAGGCAGAGCGGCGCAGCGGCGGCCGGCGGGGAGTGGGGGGACTCTGGCAGGGAATGAGGATGAGAGACTGCTAATGAGTCCAGGGTTTTGGCGGGGATAATGAAAACGTTCCGCAATTAGATAGTGACGGTGCCTGCACAGCTCTGTGATTAAGGCACCGAACTGTACACTTTAAAGTGATTAATTTGATGGCATATCAATTAAGTCTCAATAAAGCTGCTTTTCTCTTTAAAATATTAAATGTAAGAGAATATGCTATGGGTTTACTCTGTCTTCTCCATTCACCTCTGTGACATTTTAAACTTTTCGAGTCATGTGAATTTCCTCAGTGTCTTTCTCACCATTTGTTCAAAACATAAGTATATTTTATTAGAATCATAAAATGTTCTTTCATTCCCACTTGTTTAACAGGAGCTCATCCTTGAAAGAATACTTTCTGCCAAGACACAATATTCTTGCATTAGCTAATATCCAACAAGAATCAGCAAAATGGTAGATGGTATCTGCGGATGGCTCTCTTTCCAAGGATTAATATAAATGGGGCCGGGTATCGCCAATACGGGACTTTAGAATATGGCAACAGCATCTGTTAGAGTTGGTAAAGTTCATTGGATATTGGCTGCTAACAGTATGAACTTGACAGCTCTACAGATAACAAATAAGACATTCAAATTCTGTAGGTTCAGAATTTAACATATTCAGGAATTAAATTTAGGATTTTAAGCTCCTTTCTATTAGGGAAGTAATATATTTAAAACATTTTCAGTCAGCTTCTTTCCTGAGGTCTGGCAGCAGTTTCTAGATGAAAAATGAATACCATCTCAGAACCATACAGTAAAAATGAAAGGCCAGTTTTCAAAACTCATTTAACCACAGCCTCATCAGTAGATGGTAATCAGAGTTACCTATAAATCAATTCTGCCTGTTCTCTCTGATGAGGATCTTTGAAAGGATTCAGCCCTTACCCCCTTCTCAAAGGCAGAGGGGACCCCCTGGTAAAGATAAGTAGACCAGACCAGCTTCAGATCAGCGCTGCCCTGTGATGGCCACACAAGGCCACCTTCAAGGCCTCACTAAAGCCTAATTTGCCGCTGTTGTTTAGTTGCTAAGTTGTAGTCGTGTCTGACTCTCTGTGATCCCATGGAGTGTAGCCCACCAGGCTCTTCTGTCCATGGGAATTCCCAGGCAAGAATACTGGAGTGGGTTTGCCATTGCCTTCTCCAGCGGATCTTCCTGACCCAGGAATCAAACCCAGGTCTCCTGCATTGGCAGGCAAATTCTTTACTGCTGAGCCACCAGGGAAGCCCAGATCCTCCTTTGCTCATCTGTAAAATGAAACCTCCACCTACCCCACAGTTATTATGAGTATTTAATGCAATAATATCTCTAAAGCACCGAGCACATGATAGGTACAAAATAAATAATAGTTTCTCTTTGTTCTCCAAAGGGTAAAATACATATGACAAATGACAAAAACTACAAAAATAATGATGAACGAAACTCTTGGGTTTAGCATACACTGAAAAGAGCAGAATTATCTGAATACTAAAAATAAACAAATCTTTATTTTCTAAAAGACCAAATTCATATAATTTTAAGTAGGGGAACTATAACCGTGATGATAGGATAGAAGATATCAAGGCAGGGGGTGGTCAGGAATCGCCTAACTGTGTACTAATTATATTGGTATTATATAACAGATTTATTAGGGAAAACTGAATATCCAGTTTGTAGGATGCTGCAGACAATTTCAGTTAAATGGTTCTCCAAAGAAGCCAACAATAACTCAAGGTGTGGCCATATTTGTAGTATTAGAATTTCCTATAGGAAGGCTTCATAATGAATTTAGTCACGGGACTTGAGAGTGCTCCTGAAAGGGAACAAAGCCAGGGCCAGATGTCTACAAAATACTACCAATCCTTTGAGACTCATCTATACGTGCATTCTTAAAATTTTTTTACTAAAGACATATGGAAAAGGGACAACAGAAATATACATATATATCTGAAGTCAGGGAACTCACAGACATAATTTTTTAAATTATTTTTTACAGGGGGTTATATATTCACCTGGTTAAAACACCCCCAAGAAAATATAAAAGAGACTCAGTGAAAAGTTCGCTTCCCTCCCCTTTCCCTACCCACCTAGTTCTCATCCCCCAACCTCCAAAATAGATAAACACTGTTAATTTCTTATGCATCCTTCTTTACGCTTAGATGAAGCAAAAATACATTATTTTTCTACATAGAAACACAAAGCAATTTATATATATCATTCTGCATCTCAAAGGCAAATTTTTAACTCCTAAAATGTTCCAATGAAAGTGTGAAAATGAAAAACGGAAACCTCATTTAAAATGGTCAGAAGCAAAAGTAAACATCAAACTAAAGAGTTTTTGCACAAGGCAGGAAATTATTAACAAAATGAAAAGCCTGCCTCCTGAATAGGAGGAAATATTTACAAATGATATATCTGATAAGGGGTTAATATCCAAAATACACAAAGAACTCATACAACTCAACATCAGAAAAAAGCAAAACAAAACATATAACCTAATTTTAAAATAGGCCGAGGACCTAAACAGACACTCCCCTAAAGACAATATAGAGATGGCCAACAGACACATGAAAGATATTCAACTTCACTAATCATCAGGGAAACACAAATCAAAACTGCAATGACATATCACTCACACCTATTAGAATGGCTATCATCAAAAAGACAACAAATAACAAATGTTAGTTAAGAATGTAAAGAAAAAGGAACCCTCATGCACTGTTGGTAGGAATATAAATTGGTATAGCCACCATGGAGAACAGTAGGGAGGTTCCTCAAAAATTTAAAAAACAGAGCTACCATACAATCCAACGATTCTACTCCTGTGTATTTTCCTAAAGAAAACAGAAACAGCCCCATGTTCATCACAGCATTATTTACAATAACCAAGATATGAAAGCAATCTAAGGCTCCATTGACAAATAAATGGATAAAGAAGATGTGGCAATACATAATGGAATATTCAGTTCAGTTCAGTCACTCAGTTGTGTCTGACTCTTTGCAACCCCAAATGGAATATTACTCAGTCACAAAAAATGAAACAATACATGGATGGACCCAGAGGGTATTAGGCTTAAGTGAAATGTCAGACAGAAAGATAATACCATATGATTTCACTTTTGTAAGTGGAATCTAAAAGACAAAACAAATGAACAAATATAACAAAACAAAAACAGACTCATAAATACAGAGAACAAACTGGTGGTTGGCAATGGGGGAGGAGGGGGAGGGGATGAGTGACATAGGTGAGGAACAGTAAAAGGGACAAACTTCCAGCTATAAAATAAGTCACGAGAATATAATGTACAGAGTAGAGGAAACAGCCAGTAATACTATAATTTGTATGGTGACAGATGGCAACTAGACTTACTGTGGTGACCATTTTATATTGTATAAAAATACAGAATCACTAGGTTATATACCTGAATCTAATATAAATTCTAAGTCAATTGTATTTCAATTAAAAATTTTTAATAGGGACAAAATTGTTTTAAAAAATAATAAAATTTAAAAAGAAGATAAACTACAGTCAGGAAGCCCTGAAGGGGGTGCTTTCACACATTACCCTGGTGGTGGCTGCTTGCAGACCTCAACAGGATGCTTACTTCATACACCCCTGCAGGAGGAAGGAAGTTTTCTCCTTGCTCAGCATCAGCCCAGCCAATGAGAAGTCCAACAACTAAGCTAATAAGGGGCTGCCATAACCCTGATTTCTCTCTCCTCCAAAGGACTTCTGTTCAAAAACAGTCCCTCCCAACTTCTCTTCCTTTTCTGTAGAAAAGACCTCTCCTTTCCTTTGTTCTTTGGACTCACCTACAGCTCACTATAGTTTGCACATCCTGAACTATAAAGTGTGTTAGTCGTTCAGTCTTGTCTGACTCTTTGCAACCCCATGGACTCTCCAGGCTCCTCTGTCCATGAGATTTCCCAGGTAAGAACACTGGAGTAGGTAGCCATTCTTTTTTCCAGGGGATCTTCCCAACCCAGGGATCAAACCCAGGTCTCCTGAACTGTAATTCCTCTGCTATGCCTGAGTGAATTTGATTTTGCTGGCTAAGTCACCTACCTCTTTGTTTTAAAGACTGATTAAAGCAACAAATAAATTCAATGGGACAGGGGCTTCTGTTCACACTTGAGTGGACTTTTAAAGGGAGGAACAGAAATAAATGATGTTAATGTTAGTAGGAATTAGAAATAAAGGAAATCTATGTCAGACATGGGGTTCCCTGGTGGCTCAGATGGTAAGAATCTGTCTGCAGTGTGGGAGACCTGGGTTCAACCCCTGGGTTGGGAAGATCCCCTGGAGGAAGGCATGGTAACCCACTCTACTGGATACTACTGGATACTGAATACTTTCTTTCTTGGAGAATTCCCATGGATGGAGGAGTCTGGTGGGCTACAGTCCATGGGGTTGCAAAGAGTCGGACACAACTGACCGACTAAGCACAGCACAGCACAGCATATGGCAGACAAAAATTAAGGAAGTGGGCATAGTTTCATAAATCTCTGAAAAATCCTTCGCAGCCAAACACTGAAGCATCATCTCTTTCATTAATTGAAAAGATCATTTCCCAACAAACAGAACATAAATTAAACCAAAAATTCATGAGAAGAGAGAGTAGGGGGTAAAAGCAGATGAATTAGAAAGAAAAAGAGAAGTATTGATGTTGAAATGGACTAAAATGTAAACTATGAACAAATATGTACACTTAGACATATAAAACTAAGAAACAATTTTTTTAAATTACAGTAAAGTCTTAACTTCTGACTGTTTATTAACAGTGGTCCAGGTTCAAATAAGCCAATAAAACAGTGCTTTCATGTTTAAGCCATCATCAGTTTTACCACCTGGCTGTCTGGAAGCTGGGTAAAAATATCTTTTTAAAACCTTTTTCATTCCTGCTTATGAAAAAACAGGCCTTAATTCTCAGTGCAGCCTAAATAGCTATTGCCTTGGTCCTGAGCTCCTTATAATATTTGGCTCAGGCCTTGTTATAGGTGAGCTGGAGCTGCTGTAAAGTCAGCTACCTGGGCTTAATCACCCCTATGTATCTCTTGAGAGAGCTTCCAGAGATATTCCTGCATCCAGCACCACTTCTCTAACTCCCAAGAATGGAAGGCTGATCTACATGTGCTTCTCAACAATGCATTCCTCTGCTGATGAAAGGCTGGAAGAAAAGGATTTGGAACTCTGACACAGCACTTCTCAAAGACTGCTAACCTTCGGTCTAACAGTTGGTGATGGACAGAGAAGCCTGGCGTGCTGCAGTCCACAGGGTCGCAAAGAATTGGATATGACTGAACTGAACTGAACTGAACCTTCTTAGTCTTCTACTTAAAGACAAAGAGGTTGCTTTTAAACCAGATGTCTAAACCTAACACAAATGAACTTTTTGGCCTACCCAATATTTTCTAAAGGGAGCAGTGGTCTTATCTTAGAAGTGAGCTTTTAAGACAAAAACACTACTCAATCTATAACATGGTTAACATCTTCAATGAGAAAAAAAGTAGCACAAAATAATGCTACTGCCATGACACGAATCAAAAAAAATTATAAATAGTTTTAAATTTTATCATACATGCCAATGCTCAAGGAAAAAAACAGCTTATTTAGAGACGAAGAGGTGGGTGGAGACTTCTGTGGAAATTTTGGAAGGAATTACTGGGTATTCTCAAACACTAGTTCTTTATAATGTCTACCTTTCCTCCCAAACTAAAAGCTTTCCTTTTCCTTATTAAAGGCTTGTTCTTAACAGCATCGCCATGATTAGTATCTTTTTTGCTCAAGACCAAAATAAAGAGGGTGGAATGGAGAAAGGACAGAGAGAAATATTCTTAAAGCAAAAGCAAGAAGAAGAGAATAAAGAGAACAAGGTTAAAAGACGGACTAAACTCTCAGAAAGTGGGGGGAAGCCACAGAAGGATACAGGAGGAAAGTGTGGGTCACAGCTTGTGTAGGAGAAAAAAGAGGGTGGAGAGATTAGCCCAGACAGACACTGTCTGGAAAAGCTGGTGGGGTTAGTAACTAGAGAGTTGTATGCATGAAATTATTCTAAATCAACTGTTACTAACTCTGAGACAGCCTATAAGATGAGGATCACAAGAAACTTCAAGTTCACCTATTCCTACCATTGGAGGGAGCTCTGTTAAGCCAATTACTCCACACAATGTACTTATCATTAGGAGACTATTTCAAAACATCTAAAGTTCAACTGTTCTAATCTTCAACTGAATTCAACACTTTCCCCTTGGTTCAGGTCCATTATTTCTGCTTTTCCTTTTATGACCACAATTGATGATATATGAATATTCTATCATTTCTCTTCTTAAATATCTTGTATTTTAGATGTGCACAGAACACACATGTTGACTCACTTCCATCAACAGGATACATGCTTTATGCTGATTTGGATGGTTATTTCGGTCCATCCCACACCCTCACTTCATCCCCTTTATGAGCACTAGTATAAATTTCCAGTAGTGTTATTCAGGTTTGGGGAATGGCAGGTGGCCAGGAAATACAGTAAAATAACTGGCTTCAAAGTGCCTGGAATCTCTGACGTTGGCTGACTAAACAAACATGATTCTCTAAGCAACAAAACAACCCTGTATAAGGGAAATTTTTAATGGCATTGGAAATATGGATATACACATACATATGAAAGCTTACAAAATATACTCTAAAATGCTAACAGTGATTCAGTGGTAGGTTTACTGATAATTCTTATTTCCTCTTTTTCTTCTTTTAATTTTTCTTAAAAATGTATTACTTTGGTGATTTAATATTTTTTAAAAGATACAAAATAGTGAACATATAGATAAGAGAAATAGAAAATGGATAAATTAATTACAAAGTGGAATATTATGCAGCTGTCAAAACCAATGATGCAGACCTACAGATGTTCATGATAAGGTGTTAAATAAGAGATAAAAGGACAAACTGTATAGAATGAGTCCCATTATTAAAAAACTTTGTGTATATTTACAGATATACATACTTATATAAGCACGGGGTCAAGACTAGAAGAAAATAAAAACCCAGCAGTGGTTACCTTCGTCAGTAAGATTAGAGTGAAGAGGACTTATTTTTTTTCCTTCACACACTTCTCAATTGCTTAAATTTAAGGGCATATATTTTTAATTAAAAAGAATATTTAGAAAATATAAGAGACAAACTAAAATAAAAATGAGAAAAAATATGACATACACTGTTTTCTTGGGAAACTAAGAAATTAAGGAGATGATTTCTATATTCCATTTCAGCTGACCATATGCAACTGAGCGACACACACAGGTGTAATATATATGTGCATTCGATTATATAGCCTATATACTCATCCTTATACATATTTGTCTGCATGTATGGATACTGAGTTGGAAATCAGATTATTTTAACTTCGACCTATTTTTATTTTAAAAAACAAGGAGGTAAATAACTAGAATAATAAAGTTCCTTCTCATTTTTCAACTCAAGGAAGCAGTCAGTCAAGTCCTTAGTGAAGCCCCACTAGACTGAGGACTTTTCATCCAGCAGCCAGTAGACTGGCTAGTCCACCAGTGAGTTCGATTGTGCATCTGAATATATTAGATGTGTTAGTTGCTCTGTTGTATCAACCCCATGGACTGTAGCCCACCAGGCTCCTCTGTCCATGGGATTTCCCAAGCAAGAATACGGGAGTGGGTTGTCATGTCCTCCAGAGGATCTTCCTGACCCAGGGATGGGACCCAGGTCTCCCGAATTTTGCAGGCAGATTCTTTACTATCTGAGCCACCATGGAAGCCCACTTTCCATCTTACATATTATCCCTCTCTTTTTTGCTTTTTAAAGTCACTCAGTCTTGTCTGACTCTTTGCAACCCCATGGATTATACAGTCCATGGAATTCTCTAGGCCAGAATACTGGAGTGGGTAGCCTCTCCCTTCTCTAGGGGATCTTACCAACAAAGGGATTGAACCCAGGTCTCCCCTATTGCAGGCAGATTCTTTACCAGCTAAGCCACAAGGGAAGCCCAAGAATACTGGAGTGGTCTTCAGCTTGGACTTGAAGCCCAAGAGTACTATCCCTTCTCCAGTGGATGTTCCGGACCCAGGAATCCAACCAGGGTCTCCTGCATTGCAGGTGGATTCTTTACCAACTGAGCTATCAGGTAAGCCTGCACAATTTGCCTTACATAATCACCCTTCCTTCACTCACCCTCATTGCCCACCCAAGGAAAACAGATTTCAGTGTTGAATAATAGAAGAAACTGTGGCTACAAGGAGATGTACCAAAAGCAGGTTTTCAGGACCTGTCAGACACAGGAAAGGCCCTGAGATATTGGTCAAGGGCAAGACGATTTTACCCTTCCTAGTTCTCCTTGAAAACTTTCTGGCTCAGCTTCATACAGGCAATAATATTTTACTTCTTGAGGCTCTGAAACAGCCTCCAACATCAGATTTCCATGTTGTCTTCTTCAGCAATGACAACTCAGAGTTAGTATGGAGTTAAAATTTCTTTGACATGAACTACCAGATATGGAATCAGTACTATCTTTCTCCATTAATTTTTTTTTAAGCTCTACCAGTTTATTGCTACCAACCCATCTCCCTCCATCCTCGTGCACACATGCTCAGTCATGTAACCCCATGGACTGCAGCCCGCCAGGCTTCTCTGTCCATGGACTTTTCCAGGCAAGAATACTGGAGTGGGTTGCCATTTCCTTCTCCTCCATTAAATTTTTTAAAAAGTGAAATGAGAACGAAGACTCCACCATAAAGAATGCAATAGGTAAAGGAAAACAGAGATACTGAGTCCCTTAACATAACGTGGGGGCTGCTTCTGTCAGGAATAACATGTTACATAATTTGAGTTTCATGAATCAGCAGTTTTAGCCTGTAATTACAGGAATTTTTCAAAAAGAGAAGGAAAAAAAAAAATCCCTGAGGATTGGAAAAGGTAAAGTAGGTTTTGAAACGAGGCAGGTTTCAAAAGTATTTTATTCCACCCCCATACAAAAGAACGTTGACAGGCAGATGACTCAGTCTGGCTTCATTAAGGGTTTCAACACCTAAAATTCCTCATGGGAAAGCCCACCCCATCTCTCATTTTCCTCCATAGCCCTTCCCAATTCCACCCACCAGGTAATGGCCATATTTTCCTCTCTCATTGAAGGTTATCCATGTGGCGGAAACAAACTTTAGGATACACAGAGTTACACTTGAAGGAGAGAAGTTGAGGATTTTTGTTTGTTTTTTGAAATACTACAGTAATTGTAACACTTCAAAAAACACAGCAGTGATGTCAAACACTTCAAAAAAATTGTAATACCTATGATCTCTGTGTTTGAACTTGCTCATAGACCCAGGTGGCTTAATTGAGTTCATTTACAATGAAAACCGACAGCGATTGGCAGTCCTTAAAAATGATCTCGAATGATCAGGAAGAGAGAAGAAAGTTGTCAACACAACCATGAGAACCGTGTGTGCAATGGCAACTCCAAATCAGAGGGGGGGAAGCAGGATGCTTGAAAAGAGGGAAAAAGATAACCAACTTATTTGCTTTTTCAAACACCAGAGATGATCAGTTCCAAGAAATGAGTTCAAAGGGCCAGCTCATCCCTTTTGTAGAAATTATGTTGTAGCAGATACTGTTTGAAAAAGAGAGGTGTTAGATTAGGCCTGGTAATCCCTTAGTCACAACTCAACTATGGTGTGACAACTCAACACATAATGTTTTGAAATACAGCAAGAAGTCTGAAGTCATTGGGAGTCATTCATTCCACAAATGTCTATTACAGGCTGGCACGTGCCAGGCACTGTCCACACACCTGCTCTCCATTCAAGCTCTGCCTCTTACTAGCTGTGCTATCCAGGCTAAAGCACTTTCATATTTCTATGCCTCGGTTTCCTCATCTGTAAAACAGGAATGAAAACTGGCTATCCAGCTCATGTGGTCTCTCTGAAGAGTAAATAAGCATGTGCGGAAGCACTCTGTAACCCATGGAAGTGTTGGTTGTCATTTGGCTGGACTGAACTCTTGAATGTCTATGTGCCATAAAATTAAATCAGAAGAAAGTGAGCCTTCTTGCTTCCAGGAGACACTTCACAATCTTAGGCTCAGAGTGTCATTTCATCGTCTCCCTGGAAATTTAAATATATGAAACAGAGAAAGCTAGTATGACGTGCGGATTTTGACATTAGATTCATAATCACCATAATGACAAGAACCATACTTATTTTAGTCACTGTTTTGGGTCTCCATCTGGCCATCAGGCTAAGGCACCCATTTGAAGAGGGTGCTTAACTCTGGAAAATATTATCTCAATATATCTTCAAATCAGAAAATGGTTACCTAGAAGGTTGACCCATCAACTCAGTGTTACCTGAGTTTTACAGTTTACAGCAAATGGAAATAAAATTACAAAGTGTTGTTATGTGGATGTGTTCAAACAAAAATGTTCTATTTTATAGTATATTTCAAGTTCAGTCTGACCCTCAAATCTAAGCTACAGTCACGTCTGTGTGTATATGTTAGTCACTCAGTTGTGTCTGATTCTTTGTGACCCCATGGACTATAGCCTGCCAGGCTCCTCTGTCCATGGAATCCTCCAGACAATAATACTGGAGTGGGTTTCCATTCCCTTCTCCAGGGGAATCCTCCTGACCCAGGAATCAAACCTGGGTCTCCTGCATTGCAGGTGGGTTCTTTGCCATGTGAGCCACCAGGGAAACCCAAGGTACAGTCATACCAATTGTCAAATATGTTAGGAAAGAAACAGAATTAAGTTCAGTGCAGTGGCAGCTGAAGAAAGGGGAAGTTCTGGTCTCAGATTTAGTCAAGGATGGGCACTCTGTCAGCTGAGAAGGACCATGATATGGAAGATGCTAGCGATCTGGCCAGAAATCTGTAAGAAGAGTTCTCACTCCCTTCGCTCCAGACTCCCTTCCCCCAGGGGAGTAGATGGGTGATGGCTTGCTTTACTGGACTGGAAGCCAAGCCGGCTAGAAGGCACACCCAGTCCTAAAATATGCCTGAAACTTCCTCTGTTTCTAAAAGCTCTTGCAATGACATTCAGGGAACTGAAGTATGCACAGCCCGGACACTGCTAGAACTGCTATAATTTAACATTTTAAGTTAATAATTTGAGTTAATATTTATAAAACACTTAGAAACACTTAGAAAGAGCCAAACACATGTCTACCTAACACAGAGCTACCTAAGTGTTTGATAAATAAAAAAGCTCTTCCCAGATTGGCTGGGTCAATGATCAACCTACTGACAAAGTAGGGAATCAAAATACACAACGGTCTATTTTTTTTTAACCCTGATAAAGATTTAGAAACTGTCGTGCTCTGCATCTCAAGTGTACCGTACAGCCTTGTGCAGAACTGAAACTCTAGTCGTGGTTCAGAAATCACTACTAAATTAAATAACCTAAAAGTTTAAGTTTCAACAGATGAATTCTTGCTCTTTTCTGTCTTTCCCAGGAACCACCACTAAAAATGACAAAACCTAAAAATCTCAGAGCATTTCTAGATGGCACATACCAATGCTCGACTGGGAATCAACAGAGCCAAATGCACGTTAAAAGGGACAGAAAAGGGTTCAAATCACAGAGGGCTTAAAGGACAGCCACGCATTAAGGTCTCAGACGGCAGGTTCGCTGACAACAGGTTAAGGATTTCCGTGCCCTCGCAGATGCTCACAGGTAACCTGCACCCATTTTCGACCTCAGGTGGGGGGTCTCTCACTCTCCCGGGGTCTTCCACCCTCCCGGTTCCCGGCTCCGAAGCTGCACTCGGATTAACAACATCCGTCCCCGGGGACAGCCTCGGGCGTTTAGAGATCGGAAAGCAGAAACCGAATTCACCTCGAGGAAACAAAGAACACAAACTCTCAGACTCGAGGGCTGGGCGAGGGAACGGCTTTTCCCACCCGACCAACGCGGAGGTTTCCGGGCTGAAGACGGGGGCGCCGCCACGGGACCCGGGAAAGTCACGTTTGCTCCAGAAAGAGGCAGCCGAGGAGGCCCGGGTCCCCTCGCCCCGCCCGGTCCCACCCGCCCGAGGGCCCGACTGCGGCCCGGCCGCTCCCCGCCCCGCGCGCGGCCCCGGGCCCCCGCCGCCCCGCACCTACCCGGCTCCGCGGTGCTGCCTCCCCGCGCGGCGGTCGCGGAGCCGAGCGCTCTCGTGCTTCCTCCTTCCCGCAGGGCCGCCGGGCGCTGGCGTTTCCTCCCAGACGCGTCACGGCGGCCGGCTCCTCCCGCAGGGCGAAGCCGGGCGACCGGCAGCGCGCGGGGAAGGCGCCCGCTCCGGGCTGAGGGGCGGCCCGTCCCGGGCCGGAGCCGCGGGCTGGGCGATACCCCCAGCCGCGGAGACCCGCGCTCCGCCCGCTTCCCCGAGGACCCTCGCGAGAGCCCCCCGCCTCGTCCGGGGCGCCAAGTTCGGGGGACCCCGCAGTAACCCGCCTAGACTCCCCGGGGTTTTCCGCTGCTCCGCGTGTAGTGACCACTGCCCTGGGGCCCAGGAGCGCTGTGGGCCATCGTGCCCGGGCCCGGCCGGGGATCCTGACCCCGGTGCGCGCGGGGGGCAGGACAGCCCGACCCCCGGAGGCTCCCCCAGAGCAACCCGGGAATGGCCTGGTGGGCATGTGCAGTGGTGTAATGCGAAAGTATCCAGATAATTTTAGGGGAACAGCTGTGATTCATTTAGCATTATTTGCACAATTTTCTGCTTTTTCATTAGCAGAGTTTTGGCCTTTGTAAGATGGGAGAGCGCTTTCACAAAGTGGCAGACCCTGTATACAGAGAAATTTCCTTTCCACAGCTATTTTTGGATCCCTCTCTCTCAATATATATGTATATATTGGGAAAATAGGCATAAAGTACAGTAGATATTAAAATCCAATAGATACAAATCAACATATCGCCAGTGGTCCTTTGTATATTTTTTCTGAGGTCCACACAAAGCAATCCACACTATAAAGCCCAGAGAAGCTAAAGAAATTCCTCTGGTAACAAAATCAACAAGTGATCAGTGTGATCTCTTGGTGAAAGCCATGTTCACAGGACTGAAAAATTTCTCAGACAAAAGGAATTTTTACGACAATGAACTCCAAGTGAGATGATAAGACAAATACCTGGCTATTACTATTTTTCAACTTTTTTTTCTTTTGTTTGAAAAACAAACATCTGGTAACCATTACCTTTTCAAGAGAAATTTGTCCTCCTACTGTGAAGAACACAACACTCACACACACACACACACACACACACACACACACACAACCCCATCTTCCACAAACATTTCAAGACAGGAATGTTGGTGGGCAATGTTCAACTGATAAGCTAATAAGACTTTGGATATTTTGCATTTACAATCTCAGAACACTAGAGGTCATAAATATATTCAAGAACTATTAAAGGACTTTTTCACTTAATTAAAACGACACACTTTAAGGCTGATCGCTTTGATTAATCATATTCACCTATAGATATAGATTATATCTCTGTTTTCCTTTAGGTTTCCAATTTCCAAGTTTTCACTGTAAAAGCTATCAAATTTTCAGCAATATCTAGCTGATGTTTATGCCTTTATAAAAGTTTTCGTGTACATTCACGTAAGGACTTTTTTTAAAACAGAGTTTTTTTTGTTAGACTCTGGGTTCCAATATTTTGTTTGCAAATATGATTCATTTCATGAGATAGGGCAAATATTTTGTTCATCTGTTATATTTACAATGTATAAATTATGAGCACAAGCTTTGGAATCAGACTCAGATTTAAGCTGTGGCTCTGCCACTCTCTACTTCAAATTCACCTCTCTGAACAATGGTTTCATCAAAAACTTAAGGATGATAATAGTACTTTTTTCTCCTCAGTAAAACACCTAGAGCATGTGTGTATGCTTAATCGTGTCCAACTCTGCAACTCCGTGGACTGTAGCCTACCAGGCTTCTCTGTCCATGGGATTCTCCAGGCAAGAATACTGGAGTGGATGGCCATTTCCTTCTCCAGGGGCTCCTCCCAACCCAGGGACAGACTCCTGTGTTGGTGGGTGGATTCTTTATCATTAAGTCACCTGGGACGCCCAAAATACATAGTAATAGTGCTTATCTCATGAAATTGCTATCAGGATCAAATGAACCTAGTAGAATGGCTGGAACGTATTATCAACTGACTGATGATTGTCTTCACATTATTATAGCTTTAACACATATAAAAATGCCAATTTTCATGTTTCATTTGCATTACTGTAAAGAATGGAGCTTCCCATGTAGCTCAGTTGGTAAAGAATCTGCCTGCAATGCAGGAGACCTGGGTTTGATTCCTGGGTCAGCAAATGGAGAAGCAAATGGCAACCACACCAGTATTTTTGTCTGGAGAATCCCATGGATGGAGGAGCCTGGTAGGCTACAGTCCATGCGGTTTCAAGAGTTGGACATGTCTTAGTGACTAAACCACCACCTCTATAAAGAATGGTCAATTTTTAGAGCTTTGAGATTTTTGTACAAGTCTGAAAAGTAACAGGAAAAAAAAATCACAAGAGGAAGGGGATATAGGTATACCTATAGCTAATTTACTTCCTGTATAGCAGAAACTAACAACATTGTAAAACAATTATAGTCCAATAAATAAAAATAAATTAAGGGTCTCAAGTTAAAGAAAAAGAAAATATTGAGACATAGTTATGTTCAGAATTTTAGAAAATTGGACTGGCAATACCATAAACTACTGACCCAAACATTAAAAAAAAAAAAAACCTACCTAACCAGGAAGGTTAGGAATAGGAAGGATAGGCTTTGTCACTCAGTTGTGTCTGACTCTTTTTGACTTTTCCAGGCCAGAATACTTGAGTGGGTAGCCTTTCCCTTCCCCAGGGGATCTTTCCAACCCAGGGATCAAATCCAGGTCACCCCCATTGCAGGAGGATTCTTTACCAGCTGAGCCACAAGGAAGGCCCAAGAATACTGGAGTGGGTAGCCTATTCCATCAAGCCCAGGTCTCCCACATTGCAGGGGGATTCTTTATCAGCTGAGCCGAAAGGAAGGCCCAAGAATACTGGAGTGGGTAGCCTATCCCTTCTCCAGTGGATCTTCCTGATCCAGGAATTGAACCGGGGTCTCCTGAATTGCAGGAGTATTCTTTACCAACTGAGCTATCAGGGAAGCCCAACCAGGGAATACAGTATTTCTTTTTAAATAATATATTCTGATAAGATGAGTGCCTGGCTTTCATCCTCTTTTCAAAATGGAAAGCCTTTTCTCTAATATGGTATCTGATATGGAACCTTCATGACTTTTTATATCATAATAAAGTCCTATGTTATTTATAATTCTTTTATTGTAACCATGGAAAAGTTGAGGAGCATAATAATACAAGATTATCACTTCCCTTAGGGAAAAAAAATTTTTGATAAAATAGGCAGTCACAGGACTTGAATGACTCTATTCATAAGTCAGCTGGAAATGGAAGTGAGGGCCAGTATTCATTAGAATATTTGTTTTATAGCAGGAAACTCACCAAAACTAGACATGTAAAAATAATACTACCAACTACATGATTAGAAAAGGAAAGATGTTCTAGATGCATGTTATTTGTATAGTTTTTATATACATTTGTTATACTTTTTCCTTCCTTCTACTACATACTCATCTACTTAAGTGGGTCAGACATTGTGAGTTGTTGCTATAGTTTCCAGCTATGTTTATCCGTTGATATACCAACCATCTCTGTGCTTGGCGTTCTAAGTCCCTTCCATTGTGTTTGACCCTGTGTGACCCCATGGACCGTAGCTTGCTCGCTACTCTGTCCATAGAATTCTCCAGGCAAGAATACTGGAGTGGGTTGCCATGCCCTCCTCCAGGCGATCTTCCCAACTCAGGGATCGAACCCACTTTTCTTTTGTCTCCTATATTGGCAGGCGGGTTCTTTGCCACTGGAGCCACCTGGGAAGCCCCAAGCCAATGACAGTCTCTTTCAGTAACGAGAAAAACCATTGTTTTCAGAAAGTAATTTAAGGCATAGTCCTAGCCATGAATTGGTTCAGAAAATAACTAACTAATTGGTTCAGAAAATAACTAACTAATTGGTTCAGAAAAGCCTGCTGTAAAAATAAGTAAGGATATGAGAATTAAAGTGATCAACTTACTGAATTTTCTGAGTAAAGTAATTTAATAAAACACAAGGCAATGCAAGCATAATTAGAAAAACTCCCATGCTCACTGGAACTGAAACAGACTGGTTTATCCTGCCTTAGCACAAAGCAGAATTACCCTGTTTCCTTGAGCCCTTGTGGCTCAGCTGGTAAATGAGGGAGACCTGGGTTCAATCCCTGTGTTGGGAAGATCCCCTGGAGAAGGGAAAGGTTATCTACTCCAGTATTCTGGTCTGGAGAATTCAGTACATGGGGTGGCAAAGAGTCGGACATTATTGATCTGGAAAATGGTTCAGAGCGTGTTCATTTTGTATGTTGCAGGTGGGAGTGGCTCAAAGCTCAAAGTCTTTCTTGGGCCAGATTAGCCATGTTCAAACTCAAAACTGAAATACCTGATGTTCAGGCATGTTTTATATTGGTAATAAAGAGAAAACTCTATTTTAAAAGACTATTTGCGGGATAAATATAAAGCTTCCAGATCACAGAACTTTCTTACTTTCTATGTTAGACTCAAGAGAAAAACTAAGGGGAAGTGTCAGATCAAACTCCCTAAACTGCTAGCATCAGCTTTTTGATTAAAAAGTTGCTAGAAATTGCTTTAAATCCTGCTAAGACCATTCATTATCTGAAGTAAGACTATTATCTTCCCCTATTAAGGAAGTCTCGTTGCCTTCCAATCTAGTTGTATCAAGAACAAAATGTAAATTGCTTCCTTTTTCTTTCTTGTTTTTTCTCTTGGTTTTTTTATGTCTCTGGTTTGGATAGTCTGTTATATACAATAAACCATGTCTGTTAATAGTTGACCATAACTTATTTATGTTAAGTCAGTCAGCAGTTCCTATGTTCCTCAGAGAATCGTATTAGGCCTTTGAGCTCCAACCTACTAGGTGAACTTTGAAGATAATAATTATTTTAGTTACTTATCAGTATGGAATAATAGCTTTTCTTAAACGCCATTCATTTGGTGACTCAGTTACTTACTGTCAATTATGTGCAATTAATGATTGAACCCATTTCAGATGGCAAAGGCTTAATAGCCTTTGGCTTAAGGAGGAGCATTGCTGTCATTTCCTCACCTAGTTCCCCAAGGAAACTGTGTCAAAGGCTTAATAAAACTTAAGGGACTAAACTCTTCAGATACCAAAAGACCCTTAAATTCCCTAGGTTTTGTAGAATAAACAGCATTTTAACTTTTTCTACTCGTTCTCTTTCTGATGTTTTACAACTCTCATAAAACTTCTTTCCAAATTCTCCACATTCTATTTTAGATGAGATGCCATTATGAGTCATGGAATCTTCCTGGAAGTGATTGGGCTAGCCTGTAATATATGAGAGCTTTCTCTCAGCTTTTCAATTCACACTCCTATAATGCAATTTGGAATTATTCTTATATTTAAAATTGAAGTGAAGTGTTAGTCACTTAGTCATGTCCGACTCTGTGTAACCTTATGGACTGTGGCCACCAGGCTCCTCTTGTCCAGGCAAGAATCCTGGAGTGGGTTGCCATTCCCTTCTCCAGGGGATCTT